TTAAAGCAATGAGGTGTCTCTTTCTACAATCCTCCTACCAGCCTTTCACTCTCATCCTCTTATCCTGATTGCCTTGCTGTTTTATGTTGTTAATGACGCCTTCATTTCAAATTTTATTTTTTTAACTTTAAAATTTTCTGTACATTTTTCTATTGTATGTTGTGCATCTTCCCTTTTCCATACCCTCTGACCTTTCTTTCCTTTTCCCTCCTAGATCTCTCCTTTGTTCCTCTAGGCAATTTTACTTGTTTTCATTTTATGTATATGTGCATGATTTTATCTGATGATATAAAGCTTAGGAACCACAGATTATGAAAAAACATATGGCATTTGTCTAAGACTAGCTTAATTTGCTTACTATGATTATCTTTACTTGATTAATTTTCCTGCAAACAACATAATTTTTCTACTATACTCAACCTCTGGCTCCCAGCTGGACCTTTTCCATTGGCCTTTAATCGCACTAAAATCTTTTTCTCTAATTAAAAGAAGCAACCACCTCATCCTATTTCTATTCTATTTCTTCTCTCTGTCCCCTTCAAACTCTTGCAAAGCTTTCTATGTGATTAGCACCTGTTCTCCCTCTCCTATTTCCCCATCCCTCTTGACTCTTTGTCTTTAACAGCCAAGCATACACCTCTCACTATGGTTATGTCTGACCCCTATGCGTCTAAATCTACCAAACCCTATCCTGTCCAGATCTTCTGTCTTAGTCCCCTTGCCCATTCCTTCTTTCCTTTCCAAACATAGCAGTCTTCCAGTGTTCCACAACTCAGGGAAAAAAGGCAGAGTCACCCAATAACTCTTGCAATCCCTGAATTCAGGGCTTAGCTTTAATACCCTTTGTTACTTATGTGCAACTAAGTACCAAGACTGTTGATTTTGTTGTACAGGGAGGCATCTCTCAAGTCCACTTATCTAGTGTTCACATGCAGCTGACATTGTTTCTTCCCTAACACATTAGAACACACCTCTTTTTTATTTCTAGCCACTAATTACCTTAATCATTTTGCTTCACTATGACCAGAATTTTTTTAGTTTTTTATTTATTTTTAAGTTTAAATTTAGATTACAAACAAGGTTGCTTCACAAGTCAGTTCCAGGTCCCTCTCCCTTTCCCTCCCCTCCTCCCATGCCCTCCCTCCAACCCCCCATCATCCCCTCATTTCCCCAGGGAGGGTGAGGCCCTCCATGGGGGTGTCCATAGTCTGTCATTTCATCCAGGGCAGGGCCCAGACCCTCCCCCAAGAGTTCAGGATGAGAGTGCATCTCACATTGTTTGATGGGAGTCCAAAGTCCATGTGTATACTCGGGATGAGTACTGATCTACTGATGTTTTTAAAGTGCACATCTGTCCGGGTGTGGCAACATACATCTTTAATCCAAGCACTCAGAAGGCAGAAGCCAGAATGACCTACATAGCAACTTCCAGGCCTGTTAGGGTCACATAGAGAGACCCTGTCTCAAAAATCACACATCTGGTGATGTTGCCTCTGCTATCCCACACTCCTTAACACATATTTCTTTACAGCTCATCAGGAACTTCTTGGTATTCTTAGGGAAATGATAAATTCTTCAATGTGGCCTTAAAACTCTCTTCATTTTGGGCTCTGCCTGCCTTCCCAGATCATTGTTGCAAAATATTTTTTCTTTTGTCCCTCCAAACCCTCCCTTGCTCTCTTTCTAAATCATGGCGTCTTTTTCATTGTGTGTGTCCCTTTTATTTTTATTTATTGTTGCAATTGAATATAATTACAGCATTCTCTTCTTCCCTTTTCTCCCTCCAAACCCTCCCATGTATCTTCTTACAATCTTTCAAATTTATGGCCTCTATTTCTTTATATCTGCTAGGCTTCTTCAACCTCGGGGTTTTTGCACAAACTGTTTCTTTAGCTTAGAGCACTCCTCTCTCCCCTCTGCTTGTCAACTTTTTTTCAATGTTCTGGACCTCACTATCATACTTATGCTCCAACATTCCTTATACTGGGAAAGTCTCATTTTTCACTGATTAAGAAAGGACTCCTTACCACTGGTTTTCTTAGTACAGACTATTGATCCACCACCTATGCACTTACTTATGTAAATACTTAAAAAACGCATCTCTCTCTTCAATCTCCTAAATCCACTCAATAAGTACTTACTGAGTCCTCACTATGTATCAGGCATTATTTTATAAGATTGAGAACTCTAAACAAATATACAATGTGGCTAAAGAAAGTGCCACAATTAAATAATTTGTGGATGAACAGAACAGAGAAAAAAGACTGTTGCTCAGGGCAGGAGAATTAGAGAGGAGCAACTGAGCAGTGGTTTGAATGAATTGAGGAAGCAAGGCATCGGGATGCCTAGAATGTGAGCCTTTGCCAAGCAGCAAGGGTAAAGACTAGCAGGTGTCTAACTTGTTCAAAATATCCAGGATATCAGTCCGTTGGAGTACAAAGAAGGGAGAGCGGCACGAAGTGGTGATAGAGGTATGGAAGTTTCTCAGAAAGCCTGAATATAGAGCTACCATACGACTCAGCTATACCACTTCTGGATATGTCCCTGAAGGACCCTAAGTCAACATATGACAGAGACAATTACACATCCATCACAGTACCCGAGATATTGAATCAGTCTAAGTGTTCATCAGTGGATGACTGGATAAAGAAAATATGAACATACACAATAAAATTTTACACAGTCATAAAGAAAAATAAAATCATGAAAAAGAAAAGTCTTTGCAAGAAAATGGACAAAACTGAAGATAATTATGTTAAGTGAAACAAGCCAGATTCAGAAAGACAAACACTGCATGTTTTCTCTTATATACAGAACCTCGATTTAAAATCATGTATATGTGTATGTGTGTAAATATGTGCTTCTTTCTGCGGTGTGTGTATAAATTTGTGTGTTTCTGTGGTATGTGTGCACACATACATCATAACAATAAAAAGGGTATTATTAGAGGGAAGGAACTTCTCAGGGGATGTGGGAAATAGAGAGAGCAATGGAATATATGTGATATGAAATCAGAGTGAGTTACTATCTCAGGGAATGAAAGGAACCATCTAGAAGGGGACACCAGGTATGAGGAAAGACAGTGGCAGAGGAAGACAAACTTAAACAAAACGTAATGACCTTTATGACCATGTGATAACAAAATCTGTTACCTTATGTACTAACGTAAAATTAATAAAAATTAAAAAAAATGGAAACAGAGATCATGGCACATGCTGGCTCATGGAAGGCCTTGTAGGCTCCACTGTTACAAAAGAAATTGGTAGAAACTTTACACAGGGATTCATGGACTCTGTGTATGTTCTGAAATCATCAGCATGGTTGTCTTTGGATACATGGGTTAGAAGGTGAAAGAGTAGAAGTAGGAATCTATTAGAGGCTGTGGTGATGGGCCGCGGCAGAACTGATGCTGGCCTGGTGATGGCGAGAAAGCATTTGGAAGGCAGAACCTTTAGAATTTGTGATGTGTTCCTTTAATCCTCTAGGTGTTGGTTTCTTTCTTACAAGCAGTAAAAGCCAAAGGCTTTGTTGTGACAGGTGAGAGCTTATGGCATATGGTCCTTCCTAACCCTTCCCCCTCCCTTCCTCCCCAGCCACACTGCCTCCTCACTGTACTGTGAGCAGCCCAAATATGATCTTCCCTCTTGGAAATGACCTGCCATCAGATATCAGGAAAGCAGTGGTCCACATGCTGTTCTCCCCTCAAGGTTCTGCTGAAAGGTTACATTAATGGAAAGTTCTTTCTTTACTACCCTCTACGAATAAGCATCCTATTCCAGCACTCCTAATTTCCCTTACTTACTGACTTTGTCTACACCGTACTTATCACACCTGATGATAGATGCATAAGTATAATTATATACTAATACAGTTATGTATATATACAATACATATTACATACATGCACATACAATGATACATATAACATACATATATGCATACATAATATGTATTATATATATACATATAGTGCATATGTACAAAGATTTTACATATATATGTACATGCATAAAACACAATGACAGTTAGTGGACCCTTTAGGAGATGCGACCTAGTAGAAAGAAGTTCGATCATTGGAGGTGCACCCTTGAAAAGAATATTGAGACCTATTAGTTGTTTTCTATTTAAATCTTGGTCACCACAGGGTGTGAAGCTTCCTTTGTCATGTGTTCCCTACCCATGATGTTTTGTGCTGTCAGATTGAAACCTCAGAAATGGTTAAGTCAAAAGAAGTTACTCCTCTAACTCAGTGGTTCTCAGCTTCCCTAATGCTGCAACCCCTTAATGCAGTTCCTCATGACCCCCAAACATAACATTATTTTCATTGCTACTTCATAACTGTAATTTTGTTACTGTTATGAATCATAATGCAAATAGCTGATATTAAGGATCTGATGTGCAACCCCTGTGAAAGGGGTCGCAGCCCACGGATTGTCATTCTGCGGTATTTTGTCACATTCATAGAAACTGCTTAACACAGGATCAAAGAACAGATCCAAGTTTTGAGGCCAAAAAGGTGCCACTTACTGAGATAATTACTACTAAATATTTTTCAAATGAAGACAGGAGCCCCCTGCTCTTATCTCCTATGACGTCCCTGCTCTGTCTACTGCAATCTCCCTCTGCAGCCCATGGAAGGCTATGACAAGATCAGAATTTGAGGGCCCTGACTCCCCCTTTTTTTCTCAAGTAGAGAGGAAGAAACAGGAGATAACCTATGTGGACTCACAGTTCCTGAAATTTGGTGTGACGTCAGTTTGGTGGAACCCCTACAGCAGCGTCTTAGCTGTACCTGATTCTGTGCACACACGGTTTGGGCAAACAATTAATTGGCTTCCAGTTGTGGAGACAATACCACAATGTGCTTTCTAATGAAAAAAAAAGAAAGAAAAAGTAGCTATCTCTTTTCCTCATTCCTGCAGGTGCCCAACCAGGTTGACTCGCCGGAGTGCATTTTCTGCATTCTTACTAGATAGATAGCAGGGAACGCCTTGCACAGCCCCAGCTAGAGGGCTAGAAAATCTCAAAAGGAGGCAGGGTACTCATCCCCAGCTCCTGCTGCCACGCTTGTTGAGCTACTTCAGAACAGGAGGATTTTGCGATCTCAGGTAACTGCAGAGAATTAAGGTAAGAGAAGCTGGGGACTTGAGAGTGGGAAGACAGATGGAAATTCATGTGGGATTGAATTGGAGGTCTTGATATACTCTGCTCAGTGAGATTTAATCTGGCCTTTTGAAGGGGGAATTTTTGCTTCAGTTGATCACTGTAACAACCTCTGTCACTGACTATGAATCCCACCCTGGGAGTTCTTGATGCATTTTGTAGGAGTGTGGTAAGAATGTCTATATAGTGTCCATGTGGCAGACTGGAGGCTAGACTTCTGGCTTTGGATTCCATCTTCTGAGATGTTCCACAGTAGTTTCAGGGTCTACTTGGAACACTCTGGGTCTTTATTTTTGTTCCTGATGTCTCCTCTGAGTGAGCTTTTCAGTATCTTTTTCAACCAGGTCAGACCAGCCCTCTCTCATTGGAAGATGAGGTGCTCAAGATTTTCATAGGGATGTGGTGAAATTTAGTTCTAAATAGAATTAAACCAAATCACAATTATCAGATTGTGTATCCTTTTAGGATCGTTTTGCTCATTTTTCTAAGTCGAGGTTCACTGTGATGCCCATCATTGTCTTGAATGCCTAGGCTCAAGTGGTCCTTCTGGTTTAACCTCCTCAGCGTGCTGGAACCACGTGGATATGTCACAACACCCAGATTAACTCTCTGGATTTAAATATCCATCAATTGTAGTTTTCAGTGGAGTCAAGTATAACCCAGAGAATTCCTAGTAGGGTGGATCCAGGGAAGTTATTTGCTGAGTGTGTATTCCTACATGTGCAGAGGGAAAAGGGAAAGAGGGACAGTGGTAGAACTGTTGATTTCAGGGCTCTGCTCACCTACAGTGTAAGCAAATGAGATGCAATGATGTTGGGCTTTTCTCTGGTATGGTTATGTGCTGTGTGCTTTCTTAGTCTATACCCAGTAAGACTAGAAATGTGTTTGTGGTCATGCTATCCCAAGAATCTGGCTAGTTTTTTCTGTGTGGCTTCAGGGGGAAATTAGCTAAGAGATTGCAAGCTGTGTCAAGCCTGAGCCAAACACAGTGGCTGCTGGCAAGGTAGAGCCCTAGAGGACTGTCCTACAAGGTACTAAGCGACACCTGCTGCGTCAGACAGTTGGAGCCTTTAAGGAAAGCCCGAGGGAGAAGGCTGGGGGCTTTGCTTGCATTCCTTGAGGGACTCCATATGGCTGCCTTAGTGCTCACAGCCCTTTGAGGACTAGAGGTGTACCCCATCCCCACATTTGAGAGATGGAGGGACTAAGGCTAGAAGAGGGAGAGAAACTTTTCCACTCATCAGTTTGAATAGTTAGAAGCCGATAGAGGCTAGAGCCCAAGAGACCTGAAATGCCAGTTTTGCCGCTATCTTACCTTCTCTAACATCTACTTTGCTTGTTTTAAAATGGGGGTAAGGATGTCTACTTTGAAGGTCAAAACACTAATGAGTATATATGGACAGGTTCAAGCATGAAAAGGTGTTGAATAGATTGTAGCTTTAAAATTCTATTGTCTCCACATACTTTCTCCTTTATCATCCTCAATACCTTTGCTTTGTATTGACAACTCCAAGAATCTGATATACATTGTATTTTTATCGAAGAGTAAGTCACCTACTGTGAAATAGATTTTCAGTGTACAATTTGATGAGTTTTGACAAATGTAGTAACTGCCATTCTCATCAATACAAAGGTAAGGCATGGCCAAGCTTGGGGTATTTCATTGCCTGTAATCCGAGTTCTCAGGAGTCTGCGGCAAGAGGAGTATACATTTGAGATCAGCCTGGGCAGCATAGAGAGAGACCTTGCTATACACCTTCATGTACTGATGGAAAAAGATATGAGACATGGGCAACGGTGGTGAGGATTCCTTCTGGCCCGTTTCTCCTCAGTGTCTACGCCACAAGCATCCAGTATCCTGGCTTCTGGCGCCATAGTTTATTTGTACTTGTTTCATGTAAGTGAAATCACATAATATGTGGTCTTCTTTATTTGGCCTTTTCACTCAATATACTGAGGTCCATCTGCGTGGTGTGTAGTGGTAGTTTGTTCTATTTTATTGCTAAGTAATATTCTATGGTATGAAAACATCACAGAAAATGTATTTCCTGGCAATAGACTTATTTAATCAGTTTCCTTTGGGGGAAATATTGTAAACACAGCTGTCATGAATGCTTACATAGAAATATGTGTGTGTGCATGGCTGAGGTAGAATAATCTGAAATGAGAGCTGTTTAGAAAGATCCCCCCCATTCAAGGCCACCATGGTCTACAGAGAAAATTCCAGGACAGCTAGGACTACGCAGAGAAATGCTGTCTTGAAAAGCAAAACAAAAGTAAACAAATTAGAAAGATTCACTGCTTGTTGCCAGATTCCTTCCCAATGTCCCCAGAATAATCTAACCATAAGAGAACCATATAAGACTAGCTGAAGAATTCACACTATTCAAATCCTTTTAAGAGTAATATGAAGCCTAGAGGGATTTGTTATCCTCCACCTCGGGCCTTCTGACTCCTAATCTATGATTTCCTTGCATTGTACTCTCACTGTGTGAAATGACATTCAGCCACTGTTTATTGAGCACTGAATTGTGATCAGACATCAAGAAATTTGTCAGAAAGGCTCCATGATATGTAGGATCTTATAGGCTACACAGAGAAGCAATCTACTAAACCCTACTCATTTTTTTGTTATATTCACAAGATTAGATGGATGTAATATGTCTTTAGCCAGAGTACACAGCAAGTCTGGTTGAGTTTAAAGGTAAAGAAGTTACCTTTCCCCTGGTAAAGGGGGCCAGGCCCTGGCCTTGGTGCAAATAGAGATGCTAACTTGAGGAGGGGCATGAAGGAAATGGCAGGGTTGGGCATGCGGCTGTGAATAATGCAGTCTAAGTTCAAAGCAATATAGCAAACAGTTACTGAGCAGTGGCAAACAGAACATATAGTTAGCTTTCCACTAATGTGTCTATAATATACTGTCATAAAAGCGGGTTTGGGAGATCTCTTTTGTGTTATGAGTACGCGTGTCTGAAGACCTTCAAGATGGTGCTGCTGTGGTTGCTAGCTTCTAAGATGGACAGGGTTCTGAGCAGGACACTTTCAGGGGCGGTTTGGTGTGATTTACTCTCCTGCATGGAAGTGTCAAGCTGGAAAGCAGTGCTGCTGGACAGTATCTAGTCCACCCTGGATGGCTTGGTCCAGCTCTTGAGTGAATTTGCCCAACTTGGCTCTAGACTGACCTTGGATCATGCATCTGGGAGGAACTAGAAGGCAAATCGCTCTGTTATTTGGCCTCGATACTCTGCCACCTCTTCTCTTCTGGAACTTTTCTAGTCTGGTGGCTTGATCATCCTCTTTTGCAAGAGAAGACTACTATCAATGCTTGGCTCACCTTTGGAATGCTGTTTCCTGAACCCTCAGTATATTGTTGGGCTTGCTGTTTTTCAAGAACCCTGTGAGGACCTGTACTTGTAGGAGCAGCACACTGTTTATCCTTAAGAATGGGGACAACATAGTCAAAGTACATTATGTATCCATATGAAAATGTCCTTCTGAAACTCACAAGTGTCAATTAAAAAAGAAAGAAAAGAATGTCATTCACTCAAACTTCAATTGACCCACTTGGTGAAATAGGGCCAGTGACATTTTGTTTGTTTGTTTGTTTTGTTTTGAGAAAGGGTTTCTAGCTACACAGAGAACTAGTTATGGTAGACCAGGCTGGCTTCGCACTCACAGAGATCCGCCTGCCTCTGCCTCCCAAGTGCTGGGATTAAAGGTGTGCGCCACCACCTCCCGGCTGACATTTTTTATTTGGTTCACAGCTCTCACCTGTATCACTCACTCACAATGGACAAAATAAAGAAGATTGGTGTACAGATGCCCAAAAACAGGCAAAAACCAGTAAAGACTGAACGGAATGCCCGGTGCGTCATTTTCAGCTACTTCCAAGGAGACATCAGCAGTGTGGTGGATGAGCACTTTTCCAGGGCTCTGAGCAACCTCAAGAGGTCCCAGAGATGGAGCTCCTTGACCCATGGAGAAAATGTGATCCTCAGAAATGGTGAGTGTTTGTGGGAGGAGGCCCTCACCAAAAGACCAGCTCTTGAGGTACTCCATAGTCTCAGCTGTGTGTCTGGTAAAGGCAAATCACACTGCCTACTGAGAAGCCATACTACTTAGACATTCAGGGTAAAATGGACAGTGCTTAGTCAAATGACCTCACCTATGTCTTTGTTTCTTTAATTGTGTTTGTGCTGAGTTTGCTACTCTGCACAGGGTAAGTGCTCTGCCACTGTCCACTTTGACCAGCTCAGCAGCTGTACTATTATTACTGTTGGCCCGAGGGCAAGAACACTGGCGGATCCAAGATAAGATAAAGGACCATTCAGCCTCCTGCCACCCAATAGTGGATGATCTGGCAAACAAGGGCAAAGCTAGAGGGAGGCCCACGAGGAGTCTTGCCTCATCCCTCTCCCACCCATCACAAGGTCAGGGAATAGACATTGCTCAAGAGAGCTATGTCACAATGTGCGACTAAAATACTTGTTTGAGGAAAGCCATGGCTACGGACCAGGGGCCATGGTATGCCTTTCATAGATCTTAGACACTTTGGCCTTTGTGGGTCCCTTCCTCCATAAAACTTAGAATTTATAATAGCATTTTTATAAAAATGAACTTGGCCCAGACTGTGTGCATTTTTTCGAATGTGGAGTATAGGTTTAATGATTTTTTTTTGTTTTAAAATAAGAATTTCTGAACTTCTAAAAGTATTCCTGGACTCTAATGGAGTTAGGGCATGTGGTCCCTTTTATCTTCACGACATGTACATGCAGACAGAGGTCTAACTGATTTCATGAGCTCACTCTTTCTGTGGCTAAGCACATATGCTGGATATCATGTTTCATAGACTGATACGTGGACCACTAAGTGGGGCGGTTTATACAAGTAGACATGTGAAGCCTCTGTCTGTAAGCAAGGACATGTATTTGCAGACTCCATCATCCTGACTTTATTCTTGTGGTATAGACAAGGCATCAGTGTGTGTATGATGTGCTGACCTTTGCAGAATTTATGTCTTTCCTAGAAGTTACTTTTCTAGGTAAGCGATGTGATGCTCTCAGAGAATCTTGTGGGTTGATGATGTGTAAGAGCACATGGCAGTGGGTACTCAATGGTAACTGCTGTTTTCTGACTACTTACCAAGATGCCTGACTCATGGAAGTCACCCAGTAGATACTGCTTGGGTGAATGGAACTGTGATTTGGAGTACAGCATCATGACACAGACTGGATATGTAACAGAGGAACGGGATTTGTCCTGGGGATTTGGCTCAGTTGGTAGGGTTCTTGTCTAGCATGCCTGGAGCCCTGTATTTGAGCATCAGCAACTCAAAAACTGGGTGTAGTAGCAATCCTTATAATCACAGCATGTGGAAGTTGGAGGCAGGAAGACCAGCAGTTCAAAGTCATCTTCAGCTATATAAGTTCAAGGCCAGCCTATGAGTACATGAGGCCTTGTTCTGATCCAAGATCAAGGGCCCATTTCTGCTATTGTCTTTTTATTGACAGAGATACAAAGCAGTGCAACACAGTGAATCAGATAGCAAGGGACCAGAAAAATATGGATATTATATGGCTTCTCTCCTTGTCATAGAGCCACCTATAGTTTAATCATGAAGTACCAATTCTGATGACATTATTGAATCCCTAATCATCTCCCCAAAATGCCTACTGTATCACAAGAGATTAACTACATTTTGTACCTTTTAATACCACACAAAAGAGATTAAGGTCCAATAAGATACAGTGGGGGTTTCAGAGAAGACAAACGATATTGAGTTCACAGATAAGTCACCACAGAGGAGGGCTTCTTTGTGATGCATAACCTTAGAACCAGTCAGCCTGATGCTGGGCAGCTCTACTACTTCCTGTGAATGTGATCTCATGGCATGTCACTTCTTTTGCCTCTACCTGCTTCCTTGGTGCTAAAATGGACACTCATTAAACTACAAAAGGATGCTTTCAAGAAGTCAGTGAGATAATGGACACCAAGTGACAAGTAGCAAGCACTGTAGTTGTGGGGGTGATGCCAAAGTGTGCCATGCTGTTTTGAATGACTATTATGGATATGATGGCCTACATTAAAAACATTAGCATGAGAGAGCGTCAGGCCCTTCCCATGAGCTTTCATGTTATGTGGGACTTTGCTACGTGACGGTTCTAGTGTTTTCTGGCACTTGTGACCTCACCTATATGAGTCCAGGGAGCTGCTGCCTACTAGGGGATCTTGGTCATAGCCTTGTTTCTTTAGCAAACTAGCTTCCATGGGCCAAAGAAAGATGAGGGCTTTCTTCTCCACTCAGCTTCATGGATATTGCATTTTCTTCACAACAGTCTCACAGACCCCTTACACATTGTCACATTTGGTTTTGGACTAGGTAAATATTTCATTAGCTGACTGAGCAACTGAAGAAAAGACTGTCCCCTCAAGGCCTCTCTTGTCATAGCTAGGAGTCAGGTTTCCCCTAAGCTTGGTTGTCTCAAGGAAGGAACCCATAAAAGAAGTGCAGGCTGGTAGATGTTCTCATTGGTGTTGTTCTATGACACACAGCCAGGCTCAAACATGATGGGGATTTATGAAGTGGCCTTTCATTACTGACTGCTGCTTAGCATTCTCTTAACCCCTTCAAACTAACCCTAAGCAGCCAAGGCACAACTCAGCCAGGCAGAGGAGAACAGGCCCCCATTCATCGGTACCCATAGAAGATTTGCCCACATTCTGGAGGCACTCTGTCAAGCCAAATATGCAAGGCTCAAACACAGAGACCTATATGTAAAGGCCACCAAATTTCCTGGCTTCTTCCTCTAAGTCTGGGTTTATTTATTTCTTTTAATTATATGTGTATAATATACAATGGGTGTACTTTGGGCAAGAAAATAGCAGAAGAAATTAGAGTGATCTCTGCTTTTAGAGGACATTGGGGAATTCAGAATCAGTATCTGGGGAAAGCTTTGATTTCTTTTTTTCTTTTTTTAAATTTAAATTAGAAACAAGTTTTCTTCACATGTCAATTCCAGCTCCCTCTCCCTCCCCTTCTTCCATGTCCCTCCAACCCCCCAATCCCCTCCCTACCCCACCTCTGCTCCCCAGGGAAGGTGAGGTCCTCCATGGGGGAATCTCCAAAGTCTGTCAAATCATCCAGGACAGTGCCTAGGCCCTCCCCCATGTGTCCAGGCTAAGAGAGCATTCCTCAACGTGGAATGGGCTTCCGAAGTCCATTCGTATGCCAGGAATGAATACTGATCTAGTACCCGAGGCCCCAAAGATTGCCGAGGCGACCTCACTGACAGACTTTCAGGGTTCTGGATCAGTCCCATGCTGGCCTCTCAGCCATCAGTCTTGGGTCCATGAGCTCCCTCTTGTTCAGGTCAGCTGTCTCTGTGGGTTTCACCAGCCCAGTCTTGACACCTTTGCTCATCACTCCTCCCTTCTCTGCAACTGGATTCCAGGAGATCACTTCAGTGTTTAGCTGTAGGTGTCTGCTTCTCCTTCCATCAGTTACTGGATTAAGGCTCTAGGATGGAATATAAAGTAGTCATCAATCTCATTATAGGGGAAAGGCATTTAAGATAGCCTCTCCACTCCTGCTTAGATTGCCAGTTGGTGTCATCCTTGTAGATCTCTGGAAATCTCATTAGTGCCAGATCTCTCCTCAAACTTGTAATGACTCCCTCTATTATGGTGTCTTTCATTCAGCTCTCCTCTATTCTTCCCCTGACTCAACTTTTCTGCTCCCTCATGTCCTCCTCTCCCCTCCTCTTCTCCCTCTCTCTTTCTCCTAGCTCCCCCCACCCCATGCTCCCGATCCTCTCAGGAAATCCTGTCCAGTTCCCCTTCTCCGGGGTGCCATGCATATCTCTCTTAGGGTCCTCCCTGTTTCCCAGACTCTCTGGTGGTGGGATTGTATGCTTGCAATCCCCTGCTCCATATCTAAAATCCATATATGAGTGAGTACATACCGTGTTTGTCTTTTTGTGATTGGGTTACCTCACTCAGGATGGTTTCTTCTAGTGCCATGAATTTGCCTGTAAATTTCAATATTCCATTGTTTTTTTTCCGTTGAGTAGTACTCCATTGTGTAAATATACCACATTTTCTCTATCCAATCTTCAGTTGAAGGGCATCTAGGTTGCTTCCAGGTTCTGGCTGATATGACCCTAGTGGAACACATATACTTATTGTATGAATGTGCATCTTTTGGGTATGCCTAAGATTGGAATTGCTGGGTCTTGTGGTAGACTGATTCCCATTTTCCTGAGGACTCTCCATACTGATTTCCAAAGTGACTGTATGAGTTGGCACTCCCACCAACAGTAGAGGAGTGTTCCCCTTTCTCCCCATCCTCTCCGGCATAAACTGTCATTGGTGTTTTTAACTTTAGCCATTCTGTCAGGAGCAAGATGGTATCTCAGAGTTGTTTTGATTTGCATTTCCCTGATGGCTAGGGATGTTGAGCACTTTCTTAAGTTTCTCTCGCCATTTTAGACTCCTCTATTGAGAATTCTCTATTTAGTTCTGTACCCCACTTTTTAATTTGATTATATGGTGTTTTGGAAACTAGCTTCTTGAGTTCCTTGTAAATTTTGGAGACCAGCCCTCTGAATCAGTATCTGGGTAAGCTTTGATTTCTTTAGGCGGGGTATGGTCCCAGTGCTCATGGGACTTGTTGTAACCCATGTGTTTCTGTCCCCTTCCTCCTAGCCCCAGTCCCAAGTGCATTCTGAGACCTGGTACATGCTTAATAGCTGCTAAGAGAAGGTGAGGGGTGATGATCTCAGACTACATAGGTTCTCTGTGGACATTCTCAAAGGCTTCCTATCTGCCACTTGTGCTGTGCTCCAAGTGACAGTTCCATTCACCCAAGTGGGATGGGAAATAGTCATCATGCTTCTCATCCATGGAGAGTAGCTGTGTGAGATACAGTCCTGCTACTTACTTATGGTCTCTTGAGTGCCACCAACATGGTTCTTTCCTTTCCACTAAGAAAAAGGGACTTGTGTC